TGAACAATATATATGAACGTTCAGACTTTCAAATAAAATCTTAATCAATCGAAATAAAGCAAAACTAGTATATCTGATACAAGGCAATGAGAAAAATCATTATTTATGCTAAAAAGGTGGTAAAATAGTAATATACAATGTAAAACGATCAAAATAGGACCTTTAAACATCAGGAACTCAGCTCGTTGTTATGAAACTAAATATTTTACTTTGATAAAATGTTTTTTGCGACTGTAAATGTAAGTCATTTGTAAGCCAAAGATTATTCAAATGATTGTTAAATATAGCAAACAATAAGGAACAAATCTAAGTGTTATATGCACTTAGATTATTATTCGTCACCTCGTCACCTACTATTGTAACCTTAAAAGCCATACTTTTCAAAACAATACTACCTACATAGTACAGGAATTAGGTTATGATATATTATACAACTTTATCATTTACTAGACTTTAAACAAGCATGCGTTTAAATGAGTGCATTTTCTATTTGAACGTTTAAAATAATATTTATCGCTTATTTAAATGTGTATCAATAAAGAGTATCAGTTTTAAAGTTTATTTTAAAGCTTAAAGTTTATTTCATAACTCAATACATGTACACACATGACAATATGAGCTATAGCATATAAACTTACATTACATAAAGGGGCATAGCATACACATGAACATGATAATATTAATACAATTCATCTTAACAAAATGGAGAGAAACACGCATTATCGCTATGTGTTTTAAAACCCAAAAACTTTAACTACTTTTGAGTCATTTATTATCGAAAACAATATTAAATGTATAATAAATGGCCATACACGATATTTTACGCGGCCATGACGTGAAAAAAATTCCAATACTGACACAAGCTTCCCTCATAATTTTATTTGACCGGCATGCGTTTTTTGGGGACATTTAATAAGGAAAAATATCATTATATCTATACATGGAGTTGAGTATGCGCAATAGGTAATTTGGGAAAAAATATATTAGTCTAATTGTGATGCAATATAAATTTGTGATGCTTTTTCCAGAAATGTAAGAACTAATAACTTAAGATTAAATTCATTTTAAAGTGTTGTCAATTGACATCATTTTCAATCAGGTTGAACAAAATGATATCTGGACGCCATCCACTATCATTTCCTAATTTAGCGGTCACACTCTCGTCGTATACAACTATTACTTTTTGTTCTTTATTGTCATCATTTATCGTATAAACATCTGTAACTAGCTTTAACCTGTGGTCTACACTTGGGTTGTTTGAGACCGTAGGACTACCGCTAGGTTGTTCAGTAATGGGTCATTTTTCTTTTTAAAACAATGTAAAGAGAGTGAATGGTTGTAAAAATAATTTTAATCGAAGTACATCAATAAGTCAAAGAGTGAAGCCCATCTCTTAACATTATTGTAATGACATAAGTTTTGTCAGATAAATGTTTTAGGTTAAAAATGTAACTAGTAGCATAACAAGAACTTTTGGAGGACAGTAACGCTCGACTATTCGAAAAAGTTGTCACAAAGGTGTTTCATTGAGTACAATAATGCTTACCTATATGAATACATAAAATTGTCCGAGAAGGTACAAAGGCTTGTTATTAAGATGTTTTGTCGAGTATTTAAATCACTGCTTAGTTATTATGAATGCATAAAATTGTCCCCAAAAAGGCACAAACCCTTCAGTAGTTATGGAGATATTCTCCGAATCAAAAGATATTCTGCGAATAGTCAAACTAAAAACGTATATCGGGACCTTAACTGCGCATGTTTTACAACAGTAATGTTTAAGTGACTTTAATACCATTTGGAAACAAAAAATGACTTATTTTCAAATGTAGAAAAAAGAAAATTGTGATGATACTCCTTTCCATCAATAGACTGGTCATCAACATTTACAACATTAACACATGATTAACAAAGTTTTATTTTAACAAAATTATTTATGTTTATATCCACACCAAGAATATACACTAAGTTATTGCGTGAAAATAATATTACTTGATACTTGTAATTTCTTAAGTGTGTGTGCGCGCCCGTCCGTTCGTATGCATTTGAGGGCGTCATCATGAATATACAAACAACAACAACTGTAATGTAGTTTCTACAGCCTGGAACATAAGAAGACTAGCAGGCTCAATCAACCCGGTCTGCAATTTTCATGTAATTTTGTTGATATAAATACTTCCGAAGGACCACCCTTACTAGCATAATAGATATATATACAATATGCCTACGACAAACCTCACTCTTATATTGTTCAAAAGTATGTAAAATCTCGGTCAAAACAATAACTCTTTGTTTATATCACATATAAAAATAATATTGCAAATCAAAGTTCAAAATGATTAAAAATCAAGGATCGAAAGGAATATAATAATAATAATAATGAAATAATAAAAAATGAAAAAATAATTAGAAGATATCTAAATATTAATTGAAAAATATAGTGCTTTCGTTGCGTATGCAATATCATTAAATGACTTTTTTAAAAATGATATAATGAAATACTCACTCTAAATCGAGCACAATATTTGATATATATATTTTGATCACTCCATTTCCACTAAAGTCATGTCAACTTATGAAAAACGCAATGGCAATTCCCCCTTAAAACATAAAGTGAGCCAAATTCTTTTTTGAATATGTTCTATATCAAAGTACAATGTAATCTGCTGACATAAAAAAAGAACAAGAAAGATAACCGGCAAGTTAATACCCTTACAATAACTCGTTGAAGCATTTATTTACGTTATATTTTATGCAAAATATAGCCATTACCTTATCAAAGACTGTTTAAATGTGAATTTGAACGCTTTAAAACTATAACAAAAGCGTTTCAAACTTAATACAACACAGAAGTCATATATACTTAAGGATGTAGAGAACCCATTACAGAAAACAAGAGGGCCAAGATGCCCCTAGATCGCTCATCTGATTCAGAGAACTCATCCGAGCAATTACTTACAAGCATTCTGACCAAGTTTGATAACACACGCACCAACACACGCACACGCATGCGCACACATATTCATTTTGGACTTCACGCCAATTTTCAAGGTTAAATTTAAACATATTTATTTAAACCTGCTTCCTTGAACTTATCAGTTCTGCTGTCATATGAACAAAGATGGCCGTGACTGCAGCAGAGTTCAAACCCATGCTCCCCGAGTTGATGGGACATATACCTCGACAACTGTAAAGCAACTGTTCCCAACGCTTTTTACGGATGTCACGAAGTGCAAAATTGAAGGTTTCATGAACACCACTGTTAAAGCATGTCTTAATATGTTTCCAAATAATTAAACGTCGTTTTGTAAAATTACATTTTCATTTCTGAATAATATGGGGCAACTGTAGATAAGGATAAAGCTTAATTAAGCGAGTCTGCAATTTCAGTTACATGTTATACATATTTCCGTATTCTAACTTTATAAAAAAAAACAAGTAATGCTATTGACATTGTTAATAAGAGAAAAGTAATTTATGCAGAAACCAAGGATTTCTTGTTGTTTTTTTTTAGTACAATCACTACAATTATGTAAAATAGCTTGCCAACTTTCTGACATGATAGAATCTTAAATCTTTTTTTTTTTTAGATTAAAATGAGATGCACATGACTTCAGGTCAAATGCAAACCACTTCCAAAACTGATTGCATTGTCAGTAGATTATTAGATCAAAATCTCATTAAAATCAGATCACCGATTTTGCTCTGTTATTCCCCTAACTGGGGAAAAGTACTAAAGCATCAGTTAGTTTATGATTTGAATGAGATTGACTTGACTCAAAACTATCTTCATTATTAGGTGTAAATTATTAGGTACCTTGAATAATCATTATCAAAATGCAATTAAATCATTTTTAAAGTGTATAAAGCTATATTTCTGCTGCTTTTAGTTAACACTAGAACACCGCGAGTCGGTTGTGTCGCTTTGTGAACAATAAAGATTAGGGAAAATGGCCAGGACAAGAAAATTAAGCAATAACTCAAAAAATAAGAGGTGCAGGGCAGCAGTTTCTTTGCACTGCACTATCAATAAGATATATCATCCTTGAAGTTTCAAGTCCATAACTTTTATAATTTATATGAAAGGGCCTGAACAAAAATAAAGTATAGAATTAATAAAGGGTAATAACTCAAAAATAAGAAATGCAGAGTACCAGTTCTTGTTCACTGCACTTTTTCTTAATGAGATCTATCATCCTATGAAGTTTCTGTCCATAGCTTATATCCTTTCGGAGAAATGACCAGGATAAAAGTAAAGTATGAAAATTAACAAAGGGTAATAACTCAAAAAATAAAAAATGCAGAGTACCCGTTCTTGTACACTGCAGTTCTTCTTACTGAGATCTATCATCCAATGAAGTTTCAAGTCCATAGCTTTTATACTTTCGGAGAAATGGCCCGGACAAAAATAAAGTATGAAAATTAACAAAGGGCAATAACTCAAAAAATAAGAAATGCAGAGTACCGGTTCTTGTGCACTGCACTTCTTCTAAATGAGATCTATCATCCTATGAAGTTTCAAGTCCATGACTTTTATACATTAGGAGAAATGGCCCGGACAAAAATAAAGCATGAAAATTAACAAAGGGTAATAACTCAAAAATTAGGAAGTGCAGAGTACCAGTTCTTGTGCACTGCACTTATTCTTAATGAGATCTATCATCCTATGAAGTTTCAGGTCCATAGCTTTTATAGTTGAAAAGAAATGGCCTGGACCAGAATAAAGTATGAAAATTAACAAAGGGCAATAACTCAAAAATTAAGAAGTGAAGAGTACTGGTTCTTGTGCTCTGCTCTTCGGGTTATTGAAAGAAACATGCATACCAAGTTTGAAGTCAATCAGACTTATAGTGACTGAGCTATGCTCTGGGCAAGTTTAAGGGGACACCGACGCCGACACCAACGACAAAAGTAACCCCTATATGTTGCCTTTTCAAGGCGACACAAAAATTATTATGGTCACCAAAGAGTTATTTAAATATGCAGATATAACAAAAGAGTAGTTTCACAATTTTATTTCGGGTAATATGTTCTCTCGATAATGATGAAAACAAAACATTAAAATTGTATATAAAAGCACTTTGTCAACAGTATCACTTAGTCTTATTACCAGTACTGTATACAGTTTATCATTCATTCAATATCTTCTAAACCAGGACAATATTCCTGACTTCATCTATACTGTTTCAACAATCTTTTTTACAAAAGCAATTACAGAGTTATACATTCCACTCATCATAAATAATTTAATTTTTGTGTGTGTTTTTCCATATTTTCATACAAAAACTTGACATCAGGCGAACAATAATCCATCTGGTAAGCTATAAATCATCTGAAATTTCTATAACAATGTTTCCATGGCAACCAAACATTTCATAAATTTCCTAATTTTTCATATAAAATATTTATATTATTGTTTCTCTGCATTCATCTGTTATCTTCTAGGATAATGGATCTATATGGAAACTGTTCTAACTGTACAAAAAGATATCTGTAGGCAAACTTTCCTGAATCATCCTGTAAATAATATATATATATATATATATAATGTACTAGTTAAAATAGTTTATTACATGTTTTGCTGTAGATTACTGAATTATAACGGTTAATTATATTCTGATAATTTCACAGTAATGATTACCAAATATAATTTCACAGTAGCCGAACTATATTTGGCGTAAAAATAAAATATTTATCATTAATGAATGTTTTTTTCAGCGGAAATGTAGTCAATCATAATAACAAATGTACGTGATAACTGTAGTTCGTAAATATTTACGAACGTTGTGCTGAAAAACATCTAAAATCTAAAAATAATCATGGAATTATATTTTGCTTCAACATTGTGACGTCATTATTTGATGACGTCATGAAGATAAGAGCATGACGTTACGCGGCAAAAATCAGTAAAATGGTGTAAAAATCGTTAAAAAATCATGAAATAAACAGAAAATTTGTTTGTTTTACATGTAAGATCAAATAATATTTCACTCGTGAACCCCAGCTATTATATTTTCACTCGTGGCTACGCCACTCGTGGAAAATATTGCATCTGGTGTTCACTCGGTGAAATATTTTTCGATCTTACACTGAAACAAACAAATATCCTCTATTTATTACATGCTTTTCGGTGGTTTATAGAAATATATCAGTGATATAAAACTGGTAATTTCACTGTTTGAAACAGTGAAATTACCACTTTGATAATTTCACTGTTTTGAATTTAAGCCCCTCGCGTTGTTTCAGTGAAATACCAGCGTGCACAGTACTGGGTACCAAATCAATGACGTGACGTCGTAAATGACGTCACGTTGTATTATTATTTGGCGCGCTTTTCATTCAATATTAGGTTTAATGTCTTTTTAAAACGTTTCTTTGCATGTAATAAAAAGAAAATTTGTTTAGTTTAGTATAAGATCGAATATATTTCACCGAGTGAGCACCAAAAGTTCATATTTCACTCGTGGCTGCGCCACTCGTGAAATATAGCTTTTGGTGCTCACTCGGTGAAATAAATTCCGATCTTACACTGAACTAAACAAATATCCTCTATATATTTTTATTGCCCCAAAGTGGGATTTATATAGGAAACAACACAACCCTTTAGACAAAGCCAAGTCTTCAACAAATAAATAAATAAAAAAAATTATGATACTGCATAAGTGAATTTATTGATTTAGAAAAATAAACTTATAAATTTATAGAAGCTTCTAAATTTACATATATACTATTATTTATAAAGATTTTTGACTGGTTATATGGCCCTATAATATAATCTGAGCTGTTAGGCAAGAGTTATACTGCAAACAACCATTTATAAATGGCTATGTAACATGTCAGCAATATTTATAACAAATTTATAACTATTTTTTGAGAAAAATTGATAGTAGCTGTTTATATAAAACTATATAAACGTCATGATTATCCAATGAAAAGCAACATTACAAACATGCAGTATCATACTATTAGTTATAAATATTTTAGCCCTAAAAAAACAACTGTCTTTATATGGTCATATATTCATACTCCTGACTTAGTAGTGGTCACTTCTAGATAATGATTCAAGAGTATGTCTATAAGCTTACAGATTCCCACAGAAACTAAACAAGAGGGCCATGAATGACCCTGAAATTGCTCACCTGAATATAGAAACTCTCCATGAAAAGGAACAAGTAATATTGTAAACTATGGACAAAAGCAAATATAAAATCTAAATCTTAAACTGATATCACAAGGTTCTTATTTGTATCTGAAATAGTGCATGTGTAAAAACATTACTGGTTGCTATTGCTAAAGGGAAAACAACAGTTCCAAAAGACGTGCACATATAAGGAAAATAAATGACAATATAAGGAATATCAACAACGCGCCCAAGCGAGGCCAATTTTGACCCCTGGGCTTTTTTTTTAACAAACTGGGTAGACACCCCTTAGAAGATGTTTCATGCTTACTATCTAAACTTTAGCTATTTGTGATTTTTTAAAAGAAGATTATTTAACTTTTCACTATATACATATAAGAAAAATCAATGATTCCCCCGGGGCAGGCCAATTTTGACCCTAGGGCTTTTATTTGTACAAACTTTGTAGACACTCACTAGAAGATGTTTCAAGCTTAATATCTAAACTCTAGCTCTTTGGGTTTTTTAAAAGATGATTTTTAAAGTTTTTCCTATATAAGGAATATCAATGACTCCCCAGGGTGGGCCAATTTTGACCCCAGGGCTTTTATTTGAACAAACTTGGTAGGCATTCACTAGAACATGTTTCATGCCAAATATCTAAGCTCTAGCTCTCTCGTTTTTTTCAAAAGAAATTTTTTTAAGTTTTTTCTTTCAGTTGCCATGGCAACCAGAGTTCTGCATGGAATTAAATTTTTTGAACAATTTCTAAAGGTGACCACCAAAGGACCATTCCTGTGAAGTTTGGTTGAAATTGGATTAGCGGTTTATGAGGAGATGTCGTTTAAAGAAAAAGTTTACGGATGGATGGATGGACGTCCGACCAATGGACGGACGCCAGAAAAATTGTGATCACAAAAGCTCACCTTGTCACTTAGTGACAGGTGAGCTAAATAATCATACCAGATTTCAAGAGAATAGAGAATATATCAGTTTACAAACCATTTCGATGTTCAAAATTTGTTCTCTCCTGCTCCTGTTTTACTTTTAATTTAAATAACTTCTGTATAAAATAAAATAGTTTACCTTGACAACTTCTAAATTCACTTCTCCTTTCTTATCTGAACCTTGAATATAAAACTTCATCCTCATATGCTGCCTACCATCTTGTTCAAATATTACATGACTGAAGATATAATAAATATTACATGACTGAAGATAAAATAAATATTACATGACTGAAGATAAAACAAATATTACATGACTGAAGATAAAACAAATATTACATGACTGAAGATAAAACAAATATTACATGACTGAAGATAAAATAAATATTACATGACTGAAGATAAAACAAATATTACATGACTGAAGATAAAACAAATATTACATGACTGAAGATAAAATAAATATTACATGACTGAAGATAAAACAAATATTACATGACTGAAGATAAAACAAATATTACATGACTGAAGATAAAATAAATATTACATGACTGAAGATAAAACAAATGTTACATGACTGAAGATAAAACAAATATTACATGACTGAAGATAAAATAAATATTACATGACTGAAGATAAAATAAATATTACATGACTGAAGATAAAACAAATATTACATGACTGAAGATAAAGTAAATATTACATGACTGAAGATAAAAATAACAAGTTATATAAGCAGTGCATTTTCTCTTTTACTACAATATTAAAATCAAAATAAATTTACTTAAGAAATGAAAATTTGGCAAATCTTTCTACATCGATTCCTGATTGTAAGAGTTAACACCTATCGCCATTGATATTGGTAAACACCCATTAGAAGCTGTTTCATGCAAAATATATAAGCTCTAGCTTTCACCCATTTTTCAAATTTATATATAAATAATTGAAGTACAGTCTATAAGAACCTATAGCCCTTGTGTGTGCAAAAAGGGTCTATGGACAAAAGTTGCATCAATGTAAAGCCATATATTTGAAGTTTTCAAAAATTTTAAATTGACAAGTGGAATCTTCCTAAATTTTGATTGGCCGCCAAATATTTACTGAAAACAATTTTTTATTTTTACAGACAACTTCAGGAAAACATGATTAAAGGTTGTATAATCTACGTATATTTACCTAACATGTCGTCTTCTACCCCTCCTAGTCTCCTCACCGAAACATTTTATAGGCTCACCTAATGCTACTATAACCTGCAGGAGAAACATACCATATACAGTGCTTTTGGTATAAAAGAAACATAGACATTTAGTGTTATTTTTTCTAAACTTAGGCCATCCTTAAAAAAATGTTTGTTTGCAGTAACTCGACCCAGAATTTTCAAGGTGGGTAGGTAGGTCGATTTTTTTTTTTTTTTCCCCTTGAACTGTACTCCCAAATAAACATGGAATTTCAAAATGCTGGACAATATATGCTTTGATAATCTGGTAACAATTAATAAATTGATAAATGAATTCTAATTAAATAATACCTACATTTTATTTCTTCTATTAACCTTTAAAAGAACAAAAACAAAGCACAAGGCATAATTTTTTCTGATTCAAAAAAAATTTTTTTTTATCCAGACCATGAAAAAAACTTTTGAGTAGGGGCAAATTTTGTGAGTCGGTCGCGTTACTGCAAACAAACATTTTTTTAAGGATGGCCTTAATATTTAAGAACAACAGAAATAATTATGCAATCTGCCATGTCTTTCTTTGATATTAAAGACAAAAATCAATAAAAGAAAATTAATATTTAAAGTGAAACAAGTAATAATTGAGAGTTGGACCTTTAACAAAATTCTGAACTACAAATTAGTAGAACTGGATCAACTATAACATATTTTGTGACTATAGATGTGTTGTTGGTTAAATACTAGTAGCTATAGTGACATACTAACAGGCTACCAGTATAAAAACAGTCCAGTCTACATGCCTGCAAGGTTCAAAATTATAAAGTATTTTTGTAAACTTAATTCAATTCTCAGGTATTTGATTGGTCAGAAACCAGCAGATAATGCATATTGCCTGATAAAAATCTTGAGATTCAAGACAGAACTCGTAAAAAGTCGAGGCTTAAGCATCACATTATTCTGCCTGCTTCTGAGTTCCAGTTTTTTTACCTTGTTTTTTTGGTTTGGTTTTATGTTGCACCAACACTGTGTAGGTCATATAGCGACTTTCCAGCTTTACTGGTGAAGCAAGACCTCCTTTTAGAATTATTTCAGGCATGAACAGGTATTGGAGTAGAATCTCCAATGTGCTGTAAGTTAGATTGGTTGGTTTTGCTTCTGCTCATTAAAGAATTCAGAATCCCAAGCAGGACTGAACCCACAGCTGTGGTTACTCAAAATTTCTTTCCACCTAAAAGCAAAAAGGTAAAGTCCAGTGTCTATTCTAGGACAGGGATGGGGGGATTCACTCATATTTTTGAGAACTCCCCAGGCAGGGGAAAAAATTTACATAGAGAAAGAAGGAAAAAGATAAACAAATGAAATAAATTCTCACTTTTCAATAAAAATCGCCGGTTATTCAAATCCTAGAATAGACATTGAAAGGCTTGCACTGGTCTAAAATTTATATAATTCTTGGACCTAGATCTAACTGCAAAAAAAAAAACCAACACAATAAAGATTAATACCTCAGAGTCGTTGACACATCTTTTAAAAGCTTTAGTATAGACGCCATTTGAACTCTCACCAGAAAATAGTTCTCTACCAATGAAGTAAATCATTGCCCCTAAAAAACAATGAAACTTTTATTACATACAGGTACATATTTACTGCAACTAAAAATTTAATGAATACATTTAACTTTGATTAAAGTAAATATATTCTTTTCTATCTAGTACAGTTTATCAAGGTAATTGCAAAAAGAGAAACTGAAACACATGTAAAGTTTAATCCATTTACTGTAAAAACTGATATTTTCACAAGGTACAAAATCTGTTAAATCAACATTTCAGACTTCTTGGCATTGTTAAATATTTGCGGACTTTTACTTTCAGTTCTGGTAAATTCAAATGGTATAAATCTATTGAACATTTATTTTTACAAAAACTTCTGAATTATGAAATTAGCAAACATTATTCCTTTGCAAAAAATTTATTTTACAGTATATTGCAATGTAATACAAGTTTTGTATCTGTGCAATTTAAAAGAAACTTCTTCAAAGGAAATGTGGATGAAACTTTAAGAAAAGAACCATTGGCTGAATCAAGCAATTAAAAGCGAATGGTAGCCACACATTTAAGACCTCCAAGATGTAATACCAAACAATCATGTTGTTTCAAATGAAATTAATACTTAAAATTTTCTTGTTTTCTTGTTTTGTAAGATAAGCATATCAAAGAATTAAAAACACATGATACCTAATACTCCTATTGCAACCAGTGAAATTCCCAAATAAGAAACATCCTTCCCTACTTCTTTCACTGCAAATAGAAATTTATTCAACGTTGGACAATATTTTCTCTATTAGCTTGTCTGAGTTTCAAATTGAACTTTTTACTATATAATGGTCTGTATTAATGTAATAATATGTTGTTTTTAGGAGAAACATGGAAAATATCTAAAATTGAAAGTTTAAAAGAATTTAGGGCTTTGGAAAAAACAAGTCATTTTGGACTATTGTTTGGCGATATCTTATAATCTTAACAGGTTTTTATAATCCAAAAAAAAGTAAAGAAAACTAATTAATTAAATGAAGTTGTTTTTTAATTCAATTCCCTGGTTAGACGAAAAAAGTAAAATGTTTCATTTAAAAGTCAAGATATTTCCTTTTCTAAAAATAAGGTACTGAATCGATTGCTATTATTAAATTTTCAAATACTCAATTGCTCTTATATGCTGTTTTGGGGAATTCTCTAAACCTATTGTATTGAATGTACAGAAAGTATAAAGTACTGGAAAAGTGCATTTTACTAGATTTTCAAACTCATGTGAATACTTTAATGTTTGAAATTCAATATCAGTCAGATTATGATTTCACCTTTCTGTCCAAATGTCAGCCCTGCATATGGATTTTCCCTGGCTACGTCTAATTCATTGCCAGATTTTGATTTGTCAGAATCTGCTTTGCCAGATTTTGAATCAGTTGATTTAAACTGAACAAACCAAAGAGAAGGTGATGATTTGCTCTGATTAATTCGGAGATAACTTCTGTCCAGCATAAAAACAACCCTGTGTTTGGTGGCAAGCCTTGCAATGTTTATGCAAGTAAGGGCCATTTTCAATCTATGTTCCCAAGGTGAAAACTTGGTAAAAAATAAATGTCACTTAAAGATCTTCGCTTAACATGTTTAAATATTAAATTGAGATAAAAGTTAATTAACTGTCAAAAGCATATTTTTAGTGTTTCTGAACAAAATAAGAAAAAACTTATAAGCAATGACAACTTGATAACAGAGTGATTTCCCTTTACACAGCTTCTTTGATTATAATCCAAGAACATATTATTAACTTCGTTGTTCATTTATGTTTTAGAAAAACGCAAACACTTTATAAATACGTATATGCCACTGTGAACTGTCAATTAAATGTTAAATTCATATATATCATATAACAACATTATTATAATGAAACTGGCACTAATTATGCACAAAGCGTTCGATAAAACGTATTTTAAATAATATAAAATGAAATCAAGCATAACGGTGTTTACACTAATTTCACCCAGGATGAATTTATAAAAAATTTTTTTTGTTTCCCTGATAGTTTTAACAATGGCAGACAGGTTTGAAAACCTTGAGGAGCAGTTGGAAAGATTTATAGAAAATACAAGACAGCTGGGAATTATTGTCAGTGATTTCCAACCGCAGGGACAGAATGCTCTGAATCAAAAATTGTAATTTTTAAAACTCCTATTTAGATCTAGCAGTTTTCTAGAGTCTACCTGTAAACTTATCAGTTTATATAATTTACCCAAACTTTGCCTTATTATTTTGCTAAAACAAGTAGATTCACAGACTCTTGAGGATCAGGCCCTATCCCCTGACTTAAATTTGCCATTTTTCAAACGGTCTATGTATGATTTCGAGACGTTTCGGCCCCAAGACGTATCGGCCCCAAATTACCCAAGACGTTTCGGCCCCAGACGTTTCGGCCCTTTACCAAATCGTCCCCAGAATAAGTACTGTGTTTGAAACCAGTATATTAAAATTTCATAGTTATAATATAATCATAAATGACAATTTTCATGAAGTGGAACGCCAATTTCCAAGGGAAAAGAGTCAACTCGGCCCTATACCAACTCGGCACGGGTCAACTCGGCACGGGTCAACTCGGCCCACTTTACAAAAATATATATAACGTATTAACTTTGCTTTGCATGTTGTTAAGGTAAATGAATGATAAGAAATATCTTATTATTTTATAATATTGTACTTCTGCCGAAATAAAATATGTTTAGAACAAAAATTGTTATTTATTTGTCTTGCAGATAAAATTAATATAGATCTAATAAAAATGTGTTTCCTTAGATGCATTTTGTTTTTAAAGTAACATTATTAATATTATCGCTAGTTTGGAACGATTAAATGTCCTATTTTAAAATTTATTACATCAATTAAAAAGCTGGTTATCTAAGCTTTCTCTCGGTATATATTCTTTGACACTGAAGGTATTTAAAGTTACGGTTAAACCTACCACGAGTCAGAAAAACAGTGAGATACGCAATCAGTTATCTTTACTCGCAATTCTACTGATAAGAAAAGCCTGTCTGCTGCTAGTTCGGAAACTGTCAATCCGTGTATTATAGGTAATTACCATAATTACAATAAATAGTGATAACACACTAAATATTGATAATTGAAAATTGGGCCGAGTTGACCCGTGCCAAGTTGGAATAGGGCCGAGCTGACTCGGGGGCCGAGTACGTTTTAGGGCCGAGCTGACCAGGATTCTTTCCAAGTACCTTGAAAGATTTACGATACGTCTTATATATTTTACGTAAAAGATTAAATCTTTACCAAAACCATCAACGATTAGATACTTGTTGCATTTAATGTTAACTTCAATGTTTATGTATATCTCATAATAAATAGCTACTCGTAATTATTTCCTTGATATTGAAAAATCTAACACATTTAATTATCAGGTAAGGAAAGTTAATTGTTCATGCACGTGAAAATCGAAATATCCGGTCATGTAATTTTACAATGAAAAGAAAACGGAAGCCATAATATCTATAATTCTTTGTCACTGTCAACATTGTTTGATTAAACTAATTAATAAATATATAGCAGGTACATTATAAAAATTATTATAAGCATTTATGATTTGGTTTCAGTCTTTCAATCATTTTTATAACATCTAGCATCTATCATTATCTAATAACAATAATAATTAAAAATATTATCAGGAGATTATAGCAAACTGTTTTTTAATCTTTTGAAGTTTTCTCTGATATTACAGTTACTTACATAAATTCTATCTCTATTGTATTTTAATTATGCTTAATGTAATGTAACATATTAATTATAATTGTTTATATTCCTGTATACTATGCTTCTCGAACATTTCATGTTTACATGTATTTTTCTATCATTTGTAATTTGCTATAAGTATGTATTTACTTAATTGCAATAAACGTTTGAATTGAATTGAATTAAATTGAATAAAGCTATAAACAGTTAATTAGTTACACCTTGAAAAAAAATACGTAGGCCTATAGTTTAATTAAGATGAAAAGATAATGTTTTCTAAGGAATAATTGTAATTAACTTTCTTAATCAAGAAGTTTTAGTGGTTTGTTTTATAAATTAAGGATTAACCTGCCTTTATTGTTTTTTACACCTTTAAAAACATTAACGTTTATCTAAATGGTTCAAAATATCAAAAGATAATAAATAATTACTTAAAGAATTAAAGGGTCATAATTGTTTAATTGTAATTAAATCAATTCTTGTTAATTAATTTAATTAATTGTCTGTACTATATAGCAGGGCCGAAACGTCTCGCGGAAAAGGGCCGAAACGTCCAGGGGCCGATTTTTCTACTGGGGCAGATTTGGTTTGGGGCCGAAACGTCCTGTTTGCCTATGTATGATTCATTATTCAATGATACAGTAATAATTTACTGTAAAGTCTCAAATATATATGTGAAGATTGCAGACACTAACTTGACTAAGCCAGGTTTTTATTGACCATTGATCAGGGCAATTCAAGCTGAGAGATAGAGTTTGACCCTCAAGTGGCACAGCCTGTTATTTCAATATTTTTATGAAAATGACAGAAAAAGTCTTTGACAGTGAGTCTGGATATACTTTTAAAGTCTTTAATCAATTAGTTTTCTCATTTAAAGACAGTATTCATTTGTTCTTGACAACAGGACAAGCAACTACCAGCTAGATAAGCAGTCTATAACAACATTCAAGTGACAGTCTGTTCAAGCCAATACACATTATAATTGGCAGAGAGTGCACCTTATTGTAAGAAAAAATAATGCTGTGCTAATCTCCTGTTACTTTTCCCATTATAATATGCATACATTGCATAACGTCCCGGACATCTAGTATTGCCCACGAAATTAGGTGACTGTCTTTGATGTATGTATCATGTCCCAAATGTGTTGTTTAAGGCTTATCATATTCAAGCTTGACACTTTGATTATTATGTTTAAATTTTCAGTATGTATGACCATATGTACAGACTTTAAGTAACAACAGTATGAATCAATTGATTGAATGTAAGTCAGTTTGATGGCACCATAATTAGTAAGGTGCACTTGTCTAGTTTGTAGCTGCTTGTTGTCCCAGTTTTACTACTGGTTGGAGACCACCAAAACCGGACAACCATCAAACCCGGACGGCCCAGAAAATGTTTAATTTTGTATTTTCTTTGTTCAGTGGATGTCAGTCACTTTTTTACCAACAATAAATGCATGTTTCTTCTATAATTAAGTAAATAAATTTATTCAACCTCCGTACACTTATTAAAATCAAAGGTGCTAGTTGCATTGATTCGTCCAAAAATATGTCATGTAATATGATATCCATATATTAAAACAAATTTAAAATAAAAAAATATGATTTTTGTTATATAATTACAAAATCATCCATGTGGTATATTTGCCTTTAAATAAAATTAGAAGAAAAAAAAACAAACAAAAAAAACAACGATTTTTGCAATATATTATTAATTAGTAGTTCATCTAGGTGATATATTTGCCATTAAAAGTTCTGATTTATTTGTGCAGTGACATATTTTGCCCAATGTTCATGACTTAACTCATAATTATTCTTAATGTATATGTTATGAAAATAAGCTAAGTACCTGATATCTTTATTATATTTTAGACAGACAATGGTACAAGGGCTACAGGAGATAGACAAGATGAAATCACAGATGCAAGATGTTCATGTTCCTCTTGAAGTATTTGAGTAAGTTTGTTCTGTTTTCGTTCATAAAAAATGTGGAAACTGTTTCATAAAAAATTATGTAAGGAAGTTTAGAATAGCAGTAATTCTACCATGGAAAAGTTAAAATCTCTTTGTTTTGTATAAATATTTCCTCGAAATTAAGAAAATCAGGAATGAAATGGTTGGAGGATTAATTTTTTTTTTAATTTTTACTAAGTCTATGACAAATGATTTATTTTTTCTTAAACTTTTTAAACATTTTTCAGCTATTTTTTAAACAGACTTGACTCAATTTAGAACTTATAACATTGATGTCTAGATTTCAATATTCAAATGCTTCCATATTTAGACACCAACAGTATAGTTTGTCAGAGCTGCAGAGGCTGCACTTTAAGATATATAAGTTATTACCATTTAACATATTAAGAGGAGCGGTGGCCTAGTAGTTAAGGTGTCTGCCTCTCAACCCAGAGATCATGGGTTCGAGCCTTACTTGGGTCACGACCATGTTTCTTCATACGACACCAGTACTGGTTGGTTCCAGGAAGCGGACTCGAAAGTGATTAATATAAGTTGCAAGAACTTGTTTCACAATCGAGCTTAAATAAATATGTTTAAACCAACATATTAATTAAAGTATACATGTACTTGAATTACAGGTATATTGACCAAGGCAAAAATCCCAACTTGTACACAAAACACTGTTTAGAGAAAGCACTAGGGAAAAATGAACAAGTGAAGGGAAAGATTGATGCATTCAAGGTAAATAACATGTAACATATTAACAGAACAAAGAAGCTTTATTAGTTTTTGTGCAAACTTTGTATGTTACCGTCTCTAAATAAAGATTTTATTATTGCTAAAATTGATAATCTGCAGTTAGTCCATTTTGTAAAGATTAATGTATTTAGGTCAGTTAATGGACTGGTATATCAAAAGGTCAGTCAAATTTTACCTGTAAGATAATTTTTTGTAAACCCTGAAATGATACAATGTACATATAATGTAGAACCAATGTTGTTCTTACAGCAAATATTTGTTATTTGCAGCACTTTGCTTAACATTTCAAACTTGTAGTCAACGTCATAATTGATGCCAAGAAGCATAGCTTGTTTTACTGAACTATTTCACTCTATGAATTTGATAATTCCTGCATTCTCTTGTTTGAGAATTCAGTTAATTGTCATGTATGTCTTGTTACATTGTTTTCTTTCTTACAGACATTCTTTGACATATAATATATATTCTCTTGATATTTCAGTTACAGATTTTACCAATACATGTTATCATTTTATAATACATAAAATATTTAGTTCACAGTTTTCATAAGATAAGCTTCTAACCAGATTTAACCAATGAGAAAGGAAATATATCAATGTATTGTTTTTTATTTGTAGAAGTTCAAGGCATTGTTGGTTCTAGAGTTGAGTGATGTGTTTCCGAAGGAGATGGCAAACTATCGAGCAATGCGAGGTGATGACAGACCTACCTGAGATACCATTTTACTTTTATGTCGATGACCAGTGCAATATAGACAAAAATAAACATGGAAATACACTTCCAGGAGCTGTCTCTTGAATCCAATTGTTCTCAAAATTGAGTAGATGAAATGTGAAATATACAGATTTGAAGTATAAGTTATACATGTGTAATTAGACATTTTCATTAGTGAGACTCTCAGAGAAACGTTTTTGTGTACTTGAAGTAAAGATAAACTGTTTTCATTCATAATATTGTAGATACTCAATACTGATAAATTATGTTATCAACATTCTCTTGTATTTTAACGTGAATTTTAATGTAGGATTCAATATGTTTTCACAAATCTAAAGATTGCAGTGTAAAACTGTACTGGGTAATGTTGAATAGAGGATATTGAATGAGAGTAGGTTCAGTACTGAATTTATTGAACAAGTTGTATAAAGTTACATGTTTATTATGTGAGTGTCTGGCAAGCATATTATTGTTTTATTGAGTAATTTCAATATTTATTAATGAAGCTATCAGAATATGATATTCTATTTACTGCATACATAAGATAAGAACTGTTAACAGCAACAATGGATATGTTTTGCATTGACATGCTCATAGTGTAATGAATACATTTAGGGCATTTAAAAGCTATGTTTTTATAATGCAAGTGATATCACATCAAAATATAATTCTAACCGACCCGCATTTTTCCCTATTGAACATAGAAGAACCGAAAGTGTGTGTTATTATGCTATAAAATCACTGTTTGACGTTCTATATTTAGACATGTGACGTAATCATTATACATGTGACGTAACCACTAAAAATTTGACGCGCTGACAATAAGTACGGAAACAAATCAGGAGCAATTTAGCTAATTATCAGGTACAGCAGCATTTATTTGTTGACGTCATGTTAGAATCGAAATAATATATCCAAATCAGTGATTTTATTGCTGAATAACATTACTGCTTGTTGAGCAATAAAATCACAGTTTGGGATATATTATTTCTTAATCAATATATGCACAGTAGTGCAATACCATTTTTTAGGGAGTTGCAAAATATATGAGTGTATATATTGAAGACTGTTAAAATGATAAAATTTTAATCCAGCTTTAGATCAGAGGAACCAAACTGATAAGTCTTTGCCACTGGTAAAGTGTCAGGCCAACCAGCACTGCACAATCATGTAGGCTGACTGGGCTCAGTACTTTCAGCTGACTTTCAGTTTTTATTTTGATGTCCACAAAATTCATAATGAAAAAAAAGCTGGGCAAGTCTTTGTAAAAAAAATCAGCAGTTATAATAGGAGGAGTTTAAAGATGTAAGGTACTTACTGGTTTCTATATTTTCACTGTGTATGTTTGAGCTAATGTGAACACATTATTTCAAAATGTAATTAATACAATAAATATAAGATCTACTGTTAATCATACAAATGTAGAATTAATTTGACAGATCTATAAAATGTGAATGTTTATTAGTCCCCTACCGGTTTAACCGGAGGGGACTTTAGGTTTACCCTCCGTCCGTCCGTCCACACTCACAGGACAGTAATTATGTGGCTAGAGGGACAATAGGTAACTGTTCTTTCTCTTTGATGTCATTCATTCCGTAATGCTTTTATGTGGCTATTTTCTTTTGTGTGGCTAAAAAGAACAATAGAGAGAACAATAGAGAAGCCACATTATTACTCTTCTGTTAGAACGTCCGTCTGTCCGTCCGTCCACAAAACTGGATCCCGCGATAACGCAAAAAGTACTGAAAATATTTTTATGAAACTTGATATATGGATAGATGGCAGTATGGAGATTATGCACGTCTTTTTCTTTTGATCCTATGTAGAAAATTCTGGTTGCTATGGCAACAAATAGTTTGAAAATATGGCAAATTTAACACATAAACTGGATCCAGTGATAACTCAAAAAGTACTGAAAATATTTTTTATGAAACTTGAAATATGGGTAGATGGCAGTCTGGAGATTATGCACATCTTTTTCTTTTCTTCCTATGTTGGAAATTCTGGTTGCTATGGCAACAAATAGCCTGAATTTCAAGATTTCTGATTTAAATTTTTTCAGCTTTTTCACCATAAGTTCTTTATTTCTTAATGTGTTTACTTCAAACTTTAAATATAAGTTTCTGGTCATCAACCACATCATATGTGACAAGGTTTACAACTCTAGCACAAAAATTATCAGTATTTCCTCCCTTGAACTTAGAATTTTTATGAAAAAAAATGTTGTCTTTTTGAAATAACTTCTTTATTATTTTTAAATAACTTTTTTATTTCCTAATGTATCTACTTCAAACCACATGTATATGTTTCTTATTATCACTCAACATTTTTGAGGAGGTTAAATACTCTAGCAAGACTATTTCCAGAATTATGTCCCCCTTGAACTTAGATTTTTTTCGAGAAATTGGTATTTTTTATTCCAACTTCTTCATTCCTTTTAGGATTTACTTTAAAATCCCACATCGTAATAATATGACAAGGTTGTAAAAACATAATTTCCTTACTAGGCAAAGAAACTTAACACATTACTGTGATATAGACAAACTTAGAACTCAAAAGATTTAAGTTCATTCATGTCATTCATTCACTGGTAAAATTGAATGGCCAATGGCCCATCAGAATGTTGCTGGGGTTCTAACCGGTAGGGGACTTTTATGGATTGCTTGCAATACTATGATAATTGCTTGTTGTTCTTCTTTTTTAATAAAACTGTGGAAAGCACTGCCATGCACAGGAAAAAGTTTCTGCCACATGATCATACATAAATGAATTATATATTGTTATGTAAATAAAACAACTCAGCTGAAATTGAATTGGTTAACTTGCATATCCCAACCCACCACATTAATTGTGTGAAAGTTTATTTTAGAACTATCCTTACAATTTTATTTAAGAATGACAAGTTACATTTTTTTAGAATTGTCCTTACAATTTTGAACTATCCTTTACATTTTATTTTAGAATATCCAATGAGATTCCCAGATTTTCGTTTGTAATTTTAAAATGACAAATGAAAATTCTTCTTATAATCAGTTCTTCCTGTAAATTTTACAGGAAGTCAAACTGCGGCTTTAGAGCGAAAAAATGTGGCTAAACTGAACGTCCAATTTTACACAAAATTGACAATTTCTTTCCATTTTTCAAATATTTTTCAGCGTAGAACGATACATTTTATATCAGCATAAAGGAAATAATTAAAATAATTTCCTGAAATATTGTAGAATTTATGATATTTTGTCCGCCTATGGCGCTGTGATGCCCATAAAAGTTGTCATGGATACACAACGACGTCAAGTTCCAAAACGGGCTTTCAACGGTGGTCAACTTTGACGTCATGTGTACAGAAAATGGCTGAAACTATTGGAATAAAAACAATGGAATATATTCTGAAATATGGTCAACTTTTTACATGCCAATTTTCAAGACGCTACTCGAAAGTTCGCAGTGTCGCGTTCTACATTAAGGTGAGCTATCTAGGGCCATCATGGCCATCTTGTATTTGTTAATAAGTGGAGATACAAGCATAAGGACATGTTGATACAGTTCTAGATTGATAGAAAAAAACAATATTATTTTAGACATTAAAGAAAGATATGTCATACCATATACATCGTAAGTGTGATATAAGTGTCATGGTTTGCTTTCCTGTGGAACTAGAAATGTATACATGGATACATGACTTGTTTCAACAAACCCTGATATCTTTTATCACTAATGTTGCAACCAATAAAGAGCCAGGTTAGTCTGTTTATACCATGCATGCTCACCTGAGAGACATGCTTTCGTAATAGTAACCGTCCTTCGTGCATCATTACCAATGTTGTTTTTTTAAAAACCAAATGGTAGATTTTTACCAAACTTTACAGGAATAATCTGTAGGTGACCCATTATAAAAGTTGTAGAAATGATTCCAGTCTAATATATAAATAGGACACAAGAGTTAGAAATAAACCAAAAAAGCGTTATAAATTTTACTCTTTATAAACAACAATGCATATGGAGGAATTTTAGATAGTTTGGAATGTGGCATAACCTTGTACTTATCTACCATTTCGTTTTTTTTTTACTTAATTTACGTTGACAAATGTAGGAATACATATTTCAATCTTGTGTGGAACTACATTGCCCAGACCTTAGATATTTATTTCACTTGTAGCATTACAAGAACTTTGAATCGTGTCCCTTTGGTGGAAAATTCCCCCGGCGCGGGCCCATGTCTTTCTTGCTCCAGTATTACTGGGCGGCCATGTGTTTGTTTATTAAATAACAACATTTTTTAGCAAGTGTCGGAGTTATCTCTCCAACCTGTATCTTTTATTTTTAATTCTCATTACATTTCGATCAGTTCATTCATATATAAAAGAAAAGAAGCTTGCAAGTTTTCGTTATTATCTTCAGAAAAACTTTCCTCTATACACGCGGCAACAGTAAATCCCCGCGCACTTGAAGTTTTTCCCGCAATCTTCATCCTTATCGCAAAGCAAATACTCGCCATTTTCCCCCTTTTTAGGCTCTACAAATCTACCGCTTAGGTTTGGAGCAGCGCATTGAAACCCTGAAAACGAAGTATATACATCATAAGAAAACTGAAATATTGAAATATACAACTAAAATACATATAGAAAAGTAGCACACTTCAGGCATGACAATGAGTTTACGCTTATTCAGGGGATGTTTTGTCACTTGCATCGTATTTCCACAAAATTAAAGTACATTTATATAATATGTTTCTCCGGATTTTCCGCTACTGAAAGCTGTTTTAAAACATTTAATTTACAACATGTGTTGTTCTTGGTCAGATATACTCTTTTTAACATTTATAATATAATGGCAGTGTCGAATTTTCTCTGTTTGTGTGACTTTGATCAAAAATGATACTACAGATTGCCTCTCACTAACAAGCATATTTCGTTTCTATGACTATAATTATATATTATTAAAATTATTATACATGTACATTGAAATATGCTGGTGTAAGTTTCTCCAAATATGGAGGAAATAAAAGTATCTATCTACTTGTAATTTTATGAGCCCAACAGTCGCAAACGTTTTTGTATTACATATGGAAATGAGATGTATGCATGTTTAACTTACTTCTGCAGACGAGAGTGTCTGGGCAGGGAGGTTGTCCAGGATTCAATGCAGTGATAACATTACGATTCGGACACATGCACCTAAGACCGTCTCCACACTCCTGAATGTATGATAAAGTTACAAATTTACTTATTGACCATCTTTTGATTTGCCGTTCCAATAAATACGTCATCTTATGTTTCTCATATAAGAACCCAGCTTATGGTGTTATACCTATGTGAAACATGCACAAAGTTTTCATATGCTCGGATTGAGGCGAGG